ATAGTGAGTGTGGAGGGAGATGGTTGCACCATATCGGTGTATGTATGTTTGTCATTATAGTGAGTGTGGAGGCAGATGGTTGCACCATATCGGTGTATGTATGTTTGTTATTATAGTGAGCGTGGAGGGAGATGGTTGCACCATATCGGTGTATGTATGTTTGTCATTATAGTGAGCGTGGAGGGAGATGGTTGCACCAAATCGGTGTATGTATGTTTGTCATTATAGTGAGTGTGGAGGGAGATGGTTGCACCATATCGGTGTATGTATGTTTGTCATTATAGTGAGCGTGGAGGGAGATGGTTGCACCATATCGGTGTATGTATGTTTGTCATTATAGTGAGTTGTCATTATAGTGAGTGTGGAGGCAGATGGTTGCACCATATCGGTGTATGTATGTTTGTCATTATAGTGAGCGTGGAGGGAGATGGTTGCACCATATCGGTGTATGTATGTTTGTCATTATAGTGAGCGTGGAGGGAGATGTTTGCACCAAATCGGTGTATGTATGTTTGTCATTATAGTGAGCGTGGAGGGAGATGGTTGCACCATATCGGTGTATGTATGTTTGTCATTATAGTGAGCGTGGAGGGAGATGGTTGCACCAAATCGGTGTATGTATGTTTGTCATTATAGTGAGCGTGGAGGGAGATGGTTGCACCATATCGGTGTATGTATGTTTGTCATTTTAGTGAGCGTGGAGGGAGATGGTTGCACCAAATCGGCGTATGTATGTTTGTCATTATAGTGAGCGTGGAGGGAGATGGTTGCACCATATCGGTGTATGTATGTTTGTCATTATAGTGAGTGTGGAGGCAGATGGTTGCACCATATATGTGTATGTATGTTTGTCATTATAGTGAGTGTGGAGGGAGATGGTTGCACCATATATGTGTATGTATGTTTGTCATTATAGTGAGTGTGGAGGCAGATGGTTGCACCATATATGTGTATGTATGTTTGTCATTATAGTGAGTGTGGAGGGAGATGGTTGCACCATATATGTGTATGTATGTTTGTCATTATAGTGAGTGTGGAGGCAGATGGTTGCACCATATCGGTGTATGTATGTTTGTCATTATAGTGAGCGTGGAGGGAGATTGTTGCACCAAATCGGTGTATGTTTTTCTACCATGGAAGGGTGTAGTCTCTTTCTAAATCAGGGACTGTAAAATCAGACTTATATTATTGGGGACAGGACAGGAATGTTACAACACGGCACGCCATTTAACCGCAGGTTGAGCTGGCATATAATTAACCGGGTAGCTTAAACTGATAGGTTGGAATACAAACATTTATCACTGTCTTTCTCAGCTTCGAGTAGAAAAAAAAACTGTATTTCTCTTTCTATCTTTAGATAAACTTTCTTTCTGTTTATGTGTCTCAGGTGGAATTGAGTTAGACCTCTCTCTTTCTCTCTCTACTCCTAGGATGGACAGAAAAACAGTTATGTTTTCCTCTTTTTCTGTGGGACAGTCATATAATAATTTCTGAGCATTCGCGAGCCGAAAACCAGTCGCAGCTTGAGACAAAGAACTTAGTCACTTCCTATGTGTGGAAGCAAATAAACTGAAGAGAACAAGCCCCTACTCACGTCTAAAATAGTAGTACAGTTCCCTCTCTCTCTCTCTCTCTCTCTCTCTCTCTCTCTCTCTCTCTCTCTCTCTCTCTATCAATCTATTTCTATCTCTCTAACTCTCACACACACATAGAGAGAGACAGAAAGACTTGACTTACTGCGTCCCCCCTCGGTAAACTAGCTTTTTATAAGGAGTAGAAAATTATAGGGAAGAGAAAAAGTTGGTAAGAAACAACAATTAGTTTATGTTAGCTTTACAAAATCGATCACAATAAACAAACAAAGGACGTTGCGGCGATTAGCCTTCATCAGCACATAAAGGACAACAAAGTACACATACACAAATAGGCTCTAACTATGAAGTGACTACATAGGACTCTAATGTATAAAATAAACGATACTCATCTAGTGTCCCTGGCGAAAAAACTTAGTTCAAATGAAACGACGGTTTCCAACGCGCAGGTAGGGGCAAAAAAAAGGGACGGGCTGGACGCCAACAGCGTACACTAGGTGTCTGAGGAGGGAGGGAGTGGTTGGCCTATAGGGCGTAACCGGGGTTGGGTTGTGGGGATGACCTTAGTCCATCCGCGTACGGTAAACTAGCGCACGTAGTGACATTTTTCCAATGCCCTTTCTAACCAGGTCACTGACCGCGTCTTGTGCAGGGTATCTGCAACCTGTTACTTGTCCACGACTCTCTGACCGATGCCCTCGAAGTTGACGAGATGCTCTGCTGTGACTTATAACATAATCACGTCAGTGGTGGTGGCATTGCGATCGAAAGTTCGCATTGTTGGGGTGTTGTATCAAAAGGTGGATTTTGCTAAGGGCAAAGGCTACTACTACACACCATTACTCTTTTTCACTGAAGGATTTATAAGTTTCACTACAGCAATACGGGATGCACTTTTAAATTGCAAGGAAAAACCTACCAAAATCAGATTTAAATATTTGGAGGTTAACTGAATACACACAGCAGCTTTTCTGATAGATGGAGCCTCTGTGGATATTGTGTTGGTGTCAATGAAATATCTAAATCCTACAGAGCAAACATTGCCAATCTAAGTCTAATACCATAAATTCTGCATATACTATGATGAATCATGATCTGGTGAAATCCTAACATAACGCAGATAACAAGCCCCGTTGTCGGTCTAGCGCAGTGGCTATCAACATTTCAATGCCGCGATCATTTAATACTGTTCCTTTTGTTATGGTGACCCCAACCATAATTTATTTTCATTGCTCGTTCATAGTTTCAGTGAATATGTGTTTTCCGATGGTCTTAGACGACTCCTGTGAAAAGGTCGTGCGACCTGGGGTCGCAACCCACAAGTTGAGAACCGCTGATCTAGCGACTTTCAGCTGGTTTGTGGGGCTAGAGATGGGAAGGAGATCTGCATTACAGTTGTCGCAGTTTCGGTGCTTGTGGTGCAGAGTTGCAAGGAAAGTCGACATCATATGTCCACACATTCTTTAACCTACTGTCTGTATTTATTTTGAATATGAAGAGGTTAAGAAACTCAGTCACTGCGATTGTACAAACGGTTTATCAACACATTCTCTCTCTCTCTCTCTCTCTCTCTCTCTCTCTCTCTCTCTCTCTCTCTCTCTCTCTCTCTCTCTCTCTCTCTCTCTCCATCTGTCTTAATTTTATTCAGTGTCCGCCCAACTGTACCTGAGGCTACTACCGCTCCCACGACCGTCCCAGTGCCTCCATGGGGGCGACAGCTTCCAGTTTGAGAAACACTGTTCTATATGAACTTTCATTTGTTAGTCGCAAACCCTTTTCGGTGATGAAACGACTTGAGCGCCAGAATATAAAACTGAAAAGTTGAAATGTATAGTTTACTATTTACTAGTATTCATAAGCTAATGTTGAATTTGGCAATGGTTCAATACCACAGCGTATCGTTGGATCACAGAGTATCTGTATGTATATTTCTGGTAGTTATGAAGTTGCGCTAGACTTAGTGTTTTCTTTTCTGAGGTTCGTTCGATCTGCCGGATCCAGATCTCTCTTGGCCTTGTCTCATGTTCAGCTGTTGTGGCTTTGAGAAAAAAAAAAGCGTCTTTTGGTTTGTTCGGTTTTTGTTGTTGTTGACTGCTGTAGAAAAGGGATTCGTATTTGTCGATGTGTTGAATAATGATTTGGGAACTTCGTAATGTGTAATGTAATTATTGAATAGTATCTTACCATAGTCTTGTGTAGAACAACAGGTTCTTGACACGTACACACACACACACCCCTTTCTCCCCACATCCTTCACTCGTGCCACAATTTGTTGATTATCATCTGGCATGCTTACTCCGCACCACACTGGTGCATCTGTATCCTGCCTTTCACAATGTCACGTCTATAGACATAGGAGAAATCCCGACATCCAATACTGTATGTAATAAGGGTTTTAAGGCTACCGATCATATTCTATACAACAGACTGTATAAGAGCCAGCTTGTTTCCAGTCCATAACTCAGACCAGAGGGTTTCGAGCTGTTCCAACCCCCCCCCCCCACCCAATGTGGGGCCCTGTAACCCTCACGGGGAGTATTGTAAGCGAAGGGTAAGTTTTTTAAAGGTAGTTGCATATCCTTTACAGGACGTTGTAGAGCCAACCCCAGCATTTTGTTTGGCTGTTGTGGTTTTTCTAGGCAAGTGTTACGTCCAGTAGTTTACAATTGCTTGCTGGGCGGTCGGCTTCTCGATACAACTTTCGAAACCAACGCAAGGGCCCGCAGATGGGATCGAACCTGACACCCCGGCATTACCAAGCGCGTTTGCAACACCCAAACCACAAACACCGACAAGCGAAGGGTAAAAGGCTCCCAATACGCTAGTGGCGCACTCGCACTCTTAACAGTTTGAATTGTATTTTGATTACGTTGCTTATGTCGCCCTTTACGGTGCCTCCTGATGCGGCCGTATTTCTGTGTCAAAGCACGGTACAGCGCTGATGGCGCATCGGGCATGTGCAACACTCATGTATTGTATAGACCAGTCGACTTGGGGAGTGATATAGTCAGCATCATGCCTATAATTGTATTGCTACATATTTTTTTTTGGTGTATCCTTTACAGGACGTTGCAGAACCAACCCCCAGCACTTTCTGGCTGTTGTGGTTTTTCTAGGCAAATTTACGTCCATTAGTTTGTCATTGCTTTCTGGGCGGTCGGCTCTCGGTACCACGATCGAAATCATCGCAAGACAAAACCGTCCGCAGCAGGGATCGAACCCGGCACCCTGACATTACAAAGTGCTTTCGCAACGCGTAAGTTACAGACGCCGACATTGCTACATATTTACACTTTTATTCTTATCATTCCAAGCTACTTTGTCACGAGATAAAAACCTTTTTTCCCCTTCTTCTTTTGAGTAACATATTGTCTAGATGTTTTCTCATTTTAACCCATTACTTTCCAGACAGAAAGCCCAGCCAGGAAGCGCCGCAAGATTGGAGCATCCCTGCAAGAGCTGACCATTTCCAGTAGCCCACCGCCCTACGTGACGCGAGGCACAGCCGACCCTTACTCGGAGTTACGGACTGACAGACGCCGAACTCTGCCCGTACGTCGAGCTTCTGGAGAGCGTGCTCAGACCCCTAGGCCGCGCAGGAGGTGGGTATATAGGCATGTTATATCTCTAGCATCCAGTTTCGTCTTTTTTAGGATGACATTTTTTGTTATTTGAAGCCCCACCCTGGCTTTTGCCAGGGGCCGCAATATAGGCAGGCCATAAATATGGCCAATTGTCTGAACGCGGTTTCTGGGACCTCTCCACGGCGGTCCTCATCCACATGGTAGCACTTTATGTCATCGGGTGTTTATCACTAGTGTGATGTCCTAGTGGGGTAGAAAGTCAGTCAGTCAGTCTAGCAGTCTTCTGGGGGGAAAAAAGTTAGTTGCGTATCCTTTACAGGACGTTGCAGAACCAGCCCCAGCATTTTTTACAAAGCGCTTTTGCAGTGCTTATTAAAGGACTAGCTTGTATAAAGTCTTGGCTCAATACTCAGTAGCCTAAGTTATACTTATTCTTTCTCATACTAAATTCTGAAGATCTAAATAATGGACAGAACGAGAATGGGATCAGTGGAGAATATGTTAGCGACGATTGAGAGGCAATAGAGGTGGGGTGGGAGAAGAGAGAGAGAGGGGAGAGAGAGAGAGAGAGAGAGAGATCCGTTTCAGTACAGACAATAAAGAAGAAAGGCGCAATTAACCCGGCATGATAGGCAAACAACTTAATAACCTAGACAAGTGCTTGTCATTTTGGTAGATAGGATAATTATTCATTTATTGTTATTGATTATTGTTATAGGTACGTCTTCAGAAAACTAGTGGTATAAACTCGGTTCTGTAGTTTTGGCACGCTGAGGCAGGTGTGGCTCAGAATCCATTCGCATGTTTATGTCTTTATGTAGGACAGCAGACGTTGAATTATTAGATAGGAGTTGCCAAACCGTGTGGCGACACAGTGTGTCAGATCAGTGTTATGTCTGGCGACACAGTGTGTCAGATACAGTGTTATGTGTGGCGACACAGTGTGTCAGATACAGTGTTATGTGTCGCGACACTGTGTGTCAAAAACAGTGTCATGTGTCGCGCCAGCGAAATTTCTGTATGTATGTGTATCTCTTATATGTATGGCAATTATAGCTTTCGATTTTTATGTTGTCTAGTGTGTTCTTCTATCTTTCTACTTTTTTTCTATGAGAGCCGATCAATACATTTTCTGTTACTTTATTACTATATGTCTTATAAGAGGTTGCCTTTAATTTGCTATTAAAAAAAGGTAAAAAATTGACCAACATGAAAAGTTTCGAACGCTCTGAATTAGAGCAGCTGGACACGTTTGGCAAGGGATCTACATTATTAGGACGACGTGGCTCGTGCTGATAACCTTCTGAATGTCGAATTTAGACAAACATAAGAGTTCGACCAGATTGTGCTTCTTCTTCGCAGTCACCGGCTGCAAACTCTGGCGGAAAGATCTGGTTGTTCGTCTACCTCTGGACTTAATTAAGTCTTGTTCCCTAATCTGAGTTTTGCGTGCACATTCGTTCTGCAGATCTAACGTGTTTGTGTACAGAGTTTTAGTTCCTTGCCTCTCGGGTATATGATTTCTGACCTCGAAGAAAGCGCCCAATTTTTCGATTATTATTGTGGTCTTGGTTTCTCTGTGCCTTTTTTTCTGACTTAATTTTTCGATGAAAACCTAAGCTTCATTGGATGATAAATGGTACAAGAGGAAATGTCGGTTCTTTACCGTTCTCATCTATTGCAGCACAACAAAACACACGCTCTTATTCTCGCATGTTTGGGGAAATCCAGGGGTCTAGTTACTACTTCGGGGTATACTATAACCTTTGAGAACAGTTTTAGCAAATTAGACACATCACACTCATGCAGTGTTAGATTAAGGCATCAGCCGACTAATATGCAGCTTTTAAGCTGACACAAACACTCCACCATTGGCAATTTTCTTTTAATAGAGTCCTATAATGTATGTGGTTTTGCAGACGCATTTAATTAATTAAACGACATGTTTCTCTCATCTGTATGTTTGATATGTGTGGGTTACGGGGATCCCAGTGTGGGGAAAACAAGGGTAGACCCACTGGCTCTCATACAAGCATGTCGTAAGAGTCAACTTATTAGTGTTTAACTCCAAAATCTGAGTGCCTCTGCCTGAGAGGCAAGGAACCAATAGTCTGCATACATATGTCAGGTCTGTAAAACGGACGTGCACACCACACTCAGATTCTCGAAAAAGTCTAGAGGTAGATGAACAACCGGAATTTTGCGCCGGAGTTTACAGCCAGTGAACTTGAAGAAGAAGAATTGTAAGTTTCCGAAACCGATGGTGTAATTAAGAACCTTGGTAGCCTCAAGTGCTTTATATAGCTTAAGGCTTCATCAAGTCTAAATCCGGCACTGTACGCATGCTATTGTCTCCTTTATGTGCCTGGCAGTACTGATATAGATATTGGATATTGTGGCGGTAAAACGATAGAGAAGAACGCGTACTTGTCTTCTGCTCTTTAATGTTGCGGCCATCCAGTGCGTCGCAGCTCGCAAAGCTGCACTAGTTGTGAGGATTGGTTGCCAGGCCTGCCTGCCGTGGTCGATACACGTTGGCATTGAATCGGCTTGAGTCACGGTGTGCAAGGGTTGTTTAAGTCGAGTAAACATTGTAATCAGTGCGACAGTTCTTGAAACCGGGTCATGGTGCAGGAGTTTGGTGGCTTGGCGCTGTAGGCATTTTTTATTTTATTTCCGTGCAGTTGCCAAGTTTACCCACACACAAAGTACGCCAGTTTGTAGTCTGTGTACAATCTGTGCACACGTTTGAGTCCAGTATAGTTAAAGGTATTTATCACCGATAAGAACCACTTGTCATATATGGCTGTGAAACCGAGTCCCAACTAAAAGACGAGGCCTCATAAAAAAAAAAAAAACCTTGCTGTGGTTTCCCTTTAACTTCCCCTCAAGGGTTGTAGACTTTGAATACCACAGCTATAAAAAAAATCGCCCCTTTGCAGACACGCTGAACGGTACGTCAGTTTTAATTCACCCCAAACAAAGAAAATACGGGAAAGCCCAAACCGTCATGTGACGGCAGTGTGTTTTCTTTTGCGGTTTATTTCGTTTAAAAGATATAAAATAATGTGTTTTGATAACCCTAACCTGTGCTACATATAGCTACCAGGTTTATTTGGAATGAATTAAAATTGAAGTACCCCAGAAACTTCACACAACAGTGAAAAAATGGCTTCTGAAAAAAAAAAATACCAAGATTACAGAGGTTGGACAGAAAAACGAAGACACGTAAGCGAAGAGAAGACCACAAACATCAAATCTCCAAGAAACTGTTAAAAGAGCAATTGCAAAGCCAAATTCATGATGGGGTTTCGAATGTTAAAACAATTTCCAGACTTCGTACCACATAACCTGAGATTCACACGTGCATAAACAACAGGAAAGACAGATGATTAAATATAGAAACTTGTAATTAAGCTGATCAGAATTGTGCTCCTTGCCTGTTTGAATCGTGCGCTACTTGGCATTTTCCTGATCCTGATTTCGCCCACAGTAACTGCGTTAGTTTCCACACGATTCTATCACCTAGAATACATTTTAAATACAGATCTTTGTAAGGACAGCGACTGAGAACAAGTCACGTTCCGTTGACGTGGTGTTCGTTCTCTCTCTCTCTCTCTCTCTCTCTCTCTCTCTCTCTCTCTCTCTCTCTCTCTCTCTCTCTCTCTCTCTCTCTCTCTCTCTCTCTCTCTCTCTCTTCCTCTCTCTCCATAACTGTTATCTAAACTGTTTATGAACACATACATGCGCCCATACTTACGAGCACATAATTACTCAATGCGCACGCACTTACTCATGCCCCCCATACTTACTCATACCCCCATACTTACTCATGCCCCCACACTTACTCATGTCCCCATACTTACTCATGCCCCCCATACTTACTCATGCCCCCATACTTACTCAGGCCCCCACACTTACTCATGTCCCCATACTTACTCATGGCCCCCATACTTACTCAGGCCCCCATACTTACGCATGCGCCCACACTTACTCACGAGCACATAATTACTCAATGCGCACACACTTACTCATGCCCCCACACTTACTCATGTCCCCATACTTACTCATGTCCCCATACTTACTCATGTCCCCACACTTACTCATGTCCCCACACTTACTCATGTCCCCACACTTACTCATGTCCCCACACTTACTCATGTCCCCCATACTTACTCATGTCGCCACACTTACTCATGTCCCCCATACTTACTCATGTCCCCACACTTACTCATGTCCCCATACTTACTCATGCCCCCCATACTTACTCATGTCCCCCATACTTACTCATGTCCCCTATAATTACTCATGTCCCCACACTTACTCATGTCCCCACACTTACTCATGTCCCCACACTTACTCATGTCCCCCATACTTACTCATGTCGCCACACTTACTCATGTCCCCCATACTTACTCATGTCCCCACACTTACTCATGTCCCCATACTTACTCATGCCCCCCATACTTACTCATGTCCTCCATACTTACTCATGTCCCCATACTTATTCATGTCCCCCATACTTACTCATGTCCCCACACTTACTCATGTCCCCCATACTTACTCATGTCCCCATACTTACTCATGTCCCCACACTTACTCATGTCCCCATACTTACTCATGTCCCCATACTTACTCATGTCCCCATACTTACTCATGTCCCCCATACTTACTCATGTCCCCCATAATTACTCATGTCCCCACACTTACTCATGTTCCCACACTTACTCATTTCCCCCACACTTACTCATGTCCCCCACACTTACTCATGTCCCCACACTTACTCATGTCCCCCACACTTACCCATGTCCCCACACTTACTCATGTCCCCATACTTACCCATGTCCCCATACTTACCCATGTCCCCATACTTACTCATGTCCCCCACACTTACTCATGTCCCCACACTTACTCATGTCCCCACACTTACTCATGTCCCCCATACTTACCCATGTCCCCACACTTACTCATGCCCCCCACACTTACTCATGTCCCCAAACTTACTCATGTCCCCCATA